AGGAGGAGGAGGCTGCGTCCGGATCGGCCCCTGGCGGGGGAGCTCGTCGGGGGTCGCGCCCTGGCCCGCGCCGGGGCCTCGTCGTCGCCGCCGCCTCCGCCGCCGCCGTCGTCGTCGTCGTCGTCGCCGTCGTCTCGTCGTCGTCGTCGTAGTCGTCGTCGTCGTCGCCGTCGTCGTCGTCGTCCGTCGTCGTCGTCGTCGTCGTTGTCGAGGGGAGGCCGAGGCCAGACCGGCCCGTGGCTGGGCAGTTCCTCGGTCGGGCGCCTGGGCGCGCGAGGATCTCTCCGACAGGCGTGCGGCCGCGGCGTGGGCGGCGGCGGACTCGCCCCTGCTGGCGGTGCGCCTCCGCCCGGCAGAAGCTGGCCTCGACGCCGCCCTCGACGATGACGACGACGACGCCGACGCCGACGCCGACGCCAACTCCGACGCCGACGCCCTCGACGACGACGCCGACGACGACGACGGCGACGACGACGACGACGACGACCACGGCGCACGACGCACGACGCACGACGCACGATGCAGGACGCACGACGCAGGACGCACGCCGACGCCGATGCCGACGCCGACGACGACGACGACGCCGCCCTTGACGACGACGCCGAAGCCGACTCCGACGCCGACGCCGATGCCGACGCTGACGCCGACGCTGACGCCGACGCCGACGCCGACGCCGCCGCCTCCGCCGCCGCCGCCGCTGCCGACGACGACGACGGCGACGACGATTGACATCGACGACGCACGACGCACGACGCACGACGCACGGAATGTGGAGCCAGTGAAGGTCGTGCGAGCTCGGGCGTCCATTGTTTGGACACCGGTTTGGCTGGCAGGGCCAGTCTGGCAGGGCAGATTTTCGTGATTCAAGCCGTCGGGTCCACTCCCGCTGGAGCTGAGCTTCGCATTCCTGCACTTCCTGCGCGTGCAACCGCCAGGCATCGACAAGGCGCGGGGGTGCCCGGACCGCGCCTGCGATTGCCTGCCTGGCCTTCTCGCTGTGGCTACAAACGCACCCCCGGGGCCTCGAACCGACGTCCAAGGTCGCTGAGACTGCGATCGGCGAATGTTCCAGCGTTTCCATGCGACCGAAAGGCGGTCTGCTAACGCGGGGTTACTCGCTGCTTCCTTCCATTCATTGGCTCACGCGAAAATGGGGCCAGAGTTTGCGACGTGGGCGGGGTCAACGCCCTCGCCCAAAAGCACAAGTGGCGTCGAGCGCCCTGCTAGTACGCTGCCTCCGAAAGAGCTGGCAACCGCTTGGCGCAACTGCTGCACTGTGGTCGTGCGCGCTCCTACCACCCTTGACCCGCATGACTTAGCGGGCACTGCGCCTGCTGTCACTAACTTAAAAGTGTATGGGCCCCAGTTTTTTCACCATCGCATCTTTGTTCCCGCGGCTATTTCACTTAGAGTTTTTTGTTTTTGCACGGCGGACACACGTCGGTGACGGCCTGCATAGACTGTGACACCGAGATGCTTGGAGCGGCTCACAATTCTGATCCCGAGCTTTCGGGTCATGGGTTCCAGATCTTTGAGAGAGCGTGATCCACCGCCGCTTTACTGTGGAAAATTCCCCCCCTTTTCCTCCGGAACCCGGGGTCCCCCCCCCCCTCCGAAAATCCCCCCCCCCCCGCTGGAACCCCCCCATTTCCTCCCGGCAAAAACTCCCCCCCTCCCCTGACCCCCCCCGGAAGGAAACCGGGGGGGGGGGGGTCACTACCGGTTCGAACCCCTCCCAACCCCCCCCCTCCGGAAAACCGGGGGGGCTCACTACCGTTTCGAACCCCTCCCCCCCTCCCCCCACCAGAAAACCAGAGGGGGGTCACTACCGGTTCCAACCCCTCCCCTCCCCGCCAGAAAACCGAGGGGGGTCACTACCGGTTCGAACCCCCCCCCCACGCTCACCGCCAGCAAACGACTCCCGGGTCCCTATACCACCGTCCGCACCACATCCCCCACTGCTGTCCCCAGCACCACTGTCCTCACCACCACTGTCCCCACTGTTCCCACCACCGTCCCCACTGTCCCCACCAGTGCCCCCACCACTGTCGCACTGTCCTCACTGTCCCACCACTCTTCCCACCACGGTTCCACTCTCCCCACTTTCTCCACGGCCCCAACAACCATTGTCCTTTTGTCCCCACTGTCCCACTGTCCCATGGTCCCCGCCGCTGTCCCACTGAGCTGTCCCTCTGTTCCCACCACTGTCCCCACTGTCCCCACCACTGTACCCACTGTACCTCTGTCCCATTGTCCCACCGCCGTCCTCGCCACCGCCCTCACCACTGTCCCCACCACCACTGTACCCTCCACTGTCCCACTGTTTCCACCACATTCCCACTGTCCCCACACCACTGTCCCCACCACCACCGTCCCCACCACTGATCCACTGTCCCCACTGTTCCCACCATTGTCCCCGCTGTCCCCACCAGTGCCCCCACCAGTGTCTCACTGTCCCCATTCTCCCCACCATTGTCCCACCACGGTCCCACTCTCCCCACTTTCCCCACGGTCCCCACCACTGTCCCACTGTCCCCAGTGTACCCACCACTGTCCCACTGTCCCCGCCGTTGTCCCACTGTGCTGTCCCACCGTCCCCACTGCTCCCATCATTGTCCCAATGACCCTACTGTCCCCACCTTTTTCCCCACTGTACTACTGTCTTACCACTGTCCTCACCCTCTCCTTCACCACTGTCCCCACCTCCACCGTTCCCGCCACTGTCCCGCTGTCCCCGGGGGGTTCGAACCGGCAGTGACCCCTCCCCGGTTTTCGAGGGGGGAGGGGGGTTCGAACCAGTAGTGACCCCCCCCCTTTTCATGATGGACTGGGGGGGGGAGGGGTTCGAACCGGTAGTGACACCCCTCCGGTTTTCGAGGGGGGGGGACCTGTTGGGACCCCCCAGTGACCCCCCCCCGGGTTTTCCGCCAGCAGCGGTAGAGCACGCTCTTTGGACAGCGCCGTGGACGAGACCAGCAGCACTGTCTCGCCTTGCTCGCCCAGGGAGACGGGCATCTTGAGCTCGTTTCCCAGGCGGCCGATAACGCGGCGAATCGTCCTCGCATGTTCGGCTGCCGCCCAGCCGCGCTCGCCCATATGCGCGATCGACGGGACGTCGAAGAACGGGCACGCCTCGGCGAGCAGGTTGGCCATCTTGATGGCGCCCAGCTCCCTCACGAGCACCCGCTTGAGCGAGGCGGGCGCAACTACCGGACCCCGCCACGAGGCCCTGCCTCCTTTGCTCGCCCCTGGTGATAGCGCCTTCCAGCGCCAACCCCCCTCCCCTGGCCATCCCGTATATTCTGCGGAGGGCGACGCGCAGCACGCATCTCGGGAGTCCCCAGTACAGCCCGGCCCCCCCGACCTTCCAGTGGCTCACGTGCTGGGAGGGTGGGCAAGGTGAGAGAGGCGGGCGGACGCAGTAGGAGGGGAGGAGGAGGAGGGGGAGGAGGAGGAGGAGGAGGAGGAGGAGGAGGAGGAGGAGGAGGAGGAGGAGGAGGAGGAGGAGGAGGAGGAAGGATGTGCAGGACGTATCACGATTGGAGGGGAACCGGGATGTATCACGAGGGTGGGCAAGGCGAGGGAGGTGGGCGGACGTAGCAGGAGGGGAGCAAGGAGGAGGGATGGGAGGAGGAGAGATGTGCAGGACGTATCGTGATTGGAGGGCTACCGGGATGTATCGCGAAGACAGAGGAGTAATGGATGAGCTGGGAGAGTCAGGGAGCGCAACAAGGAGGAGGCTCGTGAATGCGATAATGATGACAAGGGTGGATGAGGAGGGTCACAATTGATGATGGCATGGGGATGCGTAGTAGAAACATGCGGACTACTATAATCACCATACGGAGGATGGCGTGGTGTGGAAGATGGCCACGAGGAGGAGGAGGAGGTGGGATGAGCAGCGGGACGGGGTGGGTGGACGGGCGGATCGGCAAGTGTGAGGTAGCAGGAGCTACTTGGGCATCCGACGTTGTGATTTTTTGACAACGTGGTCTCCCAGAGGTCCAGACCCGTTCCAGGGGAACTGCGTTTCAGATCCCGAGCCTTTTCTTGCCGCGCCCGAGGGGGTCCAAGAGGCCGAAAACGACCAACAACTTCCCGTCGCGATTTGTTCAAGGCGAGAGGGGGTGACCTGAGATCCGACGGCACCAAACACTGAAACAGAATTCAGAATCACGACCAGAGCTCTAGACTTTACCTTTCTGCGCCGTTATTCGAGCTAGATCGATCTGTGAGTGCCCCTGGCCCGAAAAACAATACATGTTTTTATCCTTATTATTATCAGTATTACTATCATTATTATTATTATTACTATTATTATGACTATTGTTCTTCCCTACCTAGGCTCTGCCTAGAGGGTTCTTACTCTCTTTCTTAAAGGGGCCGGGCAGTGGAGACCGCCCCGGGCGGTTCCCCCAGTATCCGCCCCGCGGTTCTCCCAGTCCCCTGGGAGTTTTAGCTTTAGCTTTAGCTTAGCTTTAGCTTAGCTTTAGCTCAGCTTTAGCTTAGCTTTAGCTCAGCTTCAGCTTAGCTTTAGGTTAGCATTAGCTTAGCTTTAGCTTAGCTTTGGCTTAGCTTTAGCTTAGCTTTAGCTTAGCTTTAGCTTAGTTGTAGCCTAGCTTTAGCTTAGCTTTAGCTTAGCTTTAGCTTAGCTTTAAATTCGCTTTAGCTTAGCTTTACCTTAGCTTTAGCTTAGTTTTAGCTTAGCTTCAGCTTAGCTTTAGCTTAGCTCTAGCTTAGCTCTAGCTTAGCTTTAGCTTAGCTTTAACTTAGCTTTAGCTTAGCTTTAGCTTTGGCTTAGCTTTAGCTTAGCTTCAGCTTAGCTTTACTGTTACTACTAATGCTGCTTTCCTAGGGGCTCCAACTCCTAGGTAGGGTCGCACTGGGATGGTTATTATTTTTATTCGTATTATCAGAGAGAAGCGCAACGCCCAGGTTTCAGCTGGGAGGGAGGCCTCCCTCACCCGGGGGGGGGGGGCTCCCACGACCAGGGCTTCTCTCCTCCCTGAGATCTGGTCCGGGTGGTCAGAGGCGGCCGCGGTGTAGCTCGGGTGTTGCTAGAAGTACCCTTGGCCCAAGGTACCCCCCAGGATTCTCGGGGTGGCCCGGGCAGCCTCCAGGGCACCCCTCACGAGGCCCAGAGGACCCCAGGGGCTCCAAGTTGGAGCGAAACGGCTGGGGACACCTTGGGCCAGGGGCACTTCTGGCAACACCCGAGTAGTGCTCTGGCGATGGAAAAGCCGCCGATCGCTCAGGCCGCTGCAGCAGAGACCAGCGCCGAAGTCGTCACGGCACGAGCCTGCCATGGCCGTGGGAGGCCCCCGCGGAGCGGCTCGGCGGAGGCACGGCCTCGACGCGGGCGCCGCGTGCGTGTCGCAGTGCAAGGAGGGCCACTTGCGGCGAGCCCTGCCGCTGCCTTCCGACTGCGGGTGGGAGCGAGCCGGCGACGGCGACGAGGACGAGGACGAGGCTGAGAATGATGATGTTGCTGGTCTTGATGATGATGTTGATGATGATGCTGGTGATGGTGATGATGCTGATGTTTGTGGTGGTGGTGGTGATGAGGAGGAGCAGGATGTGGTGATGAGGATGAGGATGATGGCGACGACGACGGCGCCGCTGCTGCTGCTGTTGATGACGATGATGATGATGATGATGATGATGATGATGATGATGATGATGATGATGATGATGATGATGATGATGATGCTGATGCTGATGCTGATGATGATGATGATGATGATGATGATGATGATGATGATGATGATGATGATGATGATGATGAGCTGGATGTGACGAGTATGAGGCTGAGGAGGAGGACGACGGCAATGGTTGCGACGACGACGAACGCGATGACGATGACGGCGATGATGATGCTGCTGATTACGTTGATGATGGTGATACTGTTGATGCTGGTGCTGATGATGCTGCTGCTGCTGCTGCTGCTGATGATGATGATGATGATGATGAACATGCTGATGATGGCGTTAGTGATGTCTTTGATGAATACAACGGCACCGTCCATGATGATTGTGGTATGCAACGGTTGGTAGTAGTGATGATACTGATTGTTCTGACGACGACGATGGCGGTGGTGATGGTTGTGATGAGAAAGATAATGCTAATGTGTTGAAGGAAGAACAATCACAGGATTAGGAAGAAGAACAACGAGATGCATCTTCGTTTGGTGGGGGTGGGAGACGTTTGCGAGAAGAGCACTGTCAAGAGAAGTATAATTTTCGAAAACTGTTTGCTTTGCATTGCGTGCTATCCCTGTAAGCCTCACCCGACTCAGCTAGCCGAACTCGTGGAAATGCCAGGCAATGATGGAATTGAAGGGCAGCATGCGTTTCTGAAAGGGCAATCACAGTCTCATCATTGGAGTGTTGATGACCGCGGTACGTACTTGTTCTGAGGCGCGTTTGATGAGCAGAGAGCTTGAAAGCCGAGCCAATCGCACGCAGCCGCAATTGTTACGTGTGTTCGCTCATATACGTCGGTGATGGATGATAGCAGCTGCGATGTATTTGCACGGAGCGATGAGCATCTGTGAGCGCGAGGGGCATGTGTCAACGGACAGAATTGAGATTGCGTGCGGTCCAGCTCCCACACATTTTCAGCGTTCGACGACGAGAGAGTCGGATGATTGGGTGTGTTGGGTTACGCGAGGTCCCCCACTGGACACATGATCGTACAGGACCCCGCCGATCTGTGTATCAACAAGGAACAGTCAGCAGCATGAAGTCAACAAGGAACAGTAAGCAGCACGAAGCAGAACTGTAGCAGACTGGAAGCTGCAACTGGCACAGGAAACTGCGAAGCTTCGGCTTGCAGCCTGGTGGCCCCACAAAGGGGGCCGGCGGATGACCACCACAAGCTCCGTGGCGGGCGCTCTATGGCCCTACCGCTCCGAGAGCAATGCTCTACACGACATGCTTGTACTGAATGTTCGGGTCCGGGCCCACGCCTCCGAGGCGGACCTCGTACTCGCGTGTCCTCCTGCGCCCCAGCAGAAGTCCTGCAGCGCATCCCGAGCCCATCCCATGACGGCATCACCCCTTAGTGGGCCCTGGAAACGACAGGGCCGTTTTTTTACATGTTCCGTTTTGCCGTTTTTTTGCCGGTTCCGACGCTGTTTTTTCACCGGTTCCGTCGCCCTTTTTTGACCGGTTCCGGCTCCGGCTCCAATCCTGGAGCCGTTTTGTTGCCGTTTCTGGTCGCCGTTTTTTTGCCGTTTCCATTTTCAAGGGACATTTTTTGGAAACGGTGAAAAAACGGCCCTGCCGATTCCGGGGCCCACAAAGCATCACCCCCGTCCCAGAGCGCGGCGAGGGCGCCCGCGCGCAGCCCTCGGCCCTTGGCCGCGCGCGCCCACGCCCGCTGCTGGCCGGCGCCGCGCAGGCTGTGGGACGTGCGGTCGCGGGCGCTGCAGTGGGAGGCGCCCTCTTGGCATCATCATCATCATCATCATCATCATCATCATCATCATCATCATCATCATCATCATCATCATCATCATCATCATCATCATCATCATCATCATCATCATCATCATCATCATCATCATCATCATCATCATCATCATCATCATCATCATCATCATCATCATCGTCATCATCATCATCATCATCATCACCATCATCATCATCACCATCATCACCACCACCACCACCACCATCATCATCATCATCATCATCATCATCATCATCATCATCATCATCATCATCATCACCTCTTGGCGCGATCTTGGCTGGAGGGTTTCGGGCGTGCTCGGCGGCTCTGCGGTTTTTCCCGGCCCGGGGTGCCGTCCCGCGGCTGCGCCTCGCCAATAGCGTTCCTGGGGCTTGGCATCGCTCGGACGTGTGCATGTTTCCTTCGGCGAGGACCATCGAGGAGCATCCTTGATCATTTGGCGAAAAAACCACGCACGAAACTTTAAAAACATAGGAAATGGACGTCCGAGCGATGGCCAGGGGGTGCCTGGGCCATCCCGAGTGGCCGCCAGAGAGCTGAGTACTGGCCCGAAAGCCAAGAGCGGCCGCGGCGGCGTCCGCGCGCGCCGGGGCAGCGGGAGGCGGTCGGGAGGGCATCACCAGGGGCGCCCAAGAGGTTTGCAGCCCAGATGCTGAGATGAGATCATGATGTTCCAGCCTGCTCTAGCTTCGGCCACCAGCGCGCACGTCGAGCACCAGGGCAGGTACCGAATCTGGAGGGTCTTCACGTGTCTGGCCTGGGAGGGTGATACTCGTTCGACATTGTTTCGATACTGTTCTGGGTGTTCGAAATTGTGCCTGGGACGTGTCGGGTATGGCCTGGACCCCAGGTAAGGGGACCCGGTTAGTGGTAGGGCCCCGGAGCCTTTGAATTGGCCAGAATCGCTAAACCAGGTTTGCCATAGCTGGTGTTTATTCGCGTGACGGCAGTTCTGGTTAGTGGAAGTGGGACGGGCGCCCCTGGTACAGATCCTTAAACCAGGTTCCACTCAACCCAGTTCTGCCAACGCCCGAACGTGGTCCTTAAGCACGATGGGAGCAACATGCAGAGGCGAGTCACCATGGGCTCGGGGGGGGCTCTGGGCTCCGGGCCTTTCCTGGGGCCTCGGTCGGGGACGGGAGCAACGACCCCCAGCCGCCCACGCCTCGCCGACAGGGGCCTGGGTGCCCCAACCTGCCCAGGGACGCGGGGTGCTCCCCATCGGGGGCCCATCGCAGGTCTGTCTGCGGTGCCTCGCCGATCCCACGTCGCCGTCGTCCCCCCCTGGGCAGGCCCGCCCCTTTCGGCTCCCCCCAGGGCAGGAGCAGGGGCTCCGATCGGCGGCGCGTGCGCAGGGCTTTGGCTCCCCTCCGACGTCTTCGAAGGTGCTCCAGCCTCGGGATGCATTCCAGCAGACGCGCCTCGCCAGGAGCGTTCCAGGGGTGCCTGGCGGGCCCCCGAGCGGCGCCAAAGGCCTAGAGGCACCATACATCGGCTGCATGTAAAGCATGGCTCTTCGCTGGAGCGTGACCTTGGGTGTAGGCCCGCTGGGCTCCCTCGATCGCGGAACGCGCTGCGGTGCCAGCTGCTTGCGCTCCTGGGTTTGGGCCCTTCGCGCCTCTCCAGAACCGCGCACCAGCGGCCACCCTCTCCTAGGGGGGTGCTCCTGCTGCGTGCAGCCGCAGGGGCGGGATATCCGCAGAAGCGGCTGTGCACCACCGTGCCCGGCGAGGGCCAGCCAGTCTTCGTAGAGGAGTCTCGCACCGATGCCAATGCCGCTGCTGGGGAGCCCTCCCGGCCAGGAGGGAGGGCGTGTACACCATGCCAGGACGGTGAGGGCGGGGGGCGAGGAGGGCACGATGGGGGGCAGGATGAGGACGAGGACGGCCAGAGGAGGACAGATCTGGGACGAGGATGACAAGGCTGGGAGGACGAGGAGGGCAGGACGACGGGGGGGGGGAGACCGCGGTCAGGAGGATAGGGGTGCGAGTTGGGGGGGGGGGGGGGGCAGGAGGTGAGGAGGACGAGCGAAAGGGGCGGGGAGCCGGGGAGGAGGAGCTCTCAATGCAGCAAGGACGTGTGAAGATGCTGGGAAGCGTGGGGTGGAGGGGAGCGGCGGGGGACGAGGGGCGAGTGGAGGAGGGAGGAGGGGCGGGGGGGTGATGGCGAAGGGTGTCGAGGAAGGGCAGGAGAGGCGATGCGGGGGCGGGGCGCAGGGGCGACGGGGCGAGGCGAAGCGGGGATCGCGGAGGGTGCGCGAGCATCGGGGCAGTGCAGCGGCATCATCTGCTGCACGCTCTGCCGTGAGCGGAGGGGCACCCTGCCGCAAGCGGCCCCTCCCGGTGCTCGGCGCCCGCGCACAGGCGGAGACCGGCAGCAGCTCCTTTGCGCGCTCGCTGGTGCTGCCCTCCTCCGGCGGCGACGCGCTCGATGCACAGCCGCAGGCAGGGGGTGGCTCTGGAGCCGGGAGAACACATGACCATGGACCAGGAGAGAAGGAGGGGAAGGAGAGGGCGGAGGAGGATGAAGCGGGGCAACGACGAGCAGGAGGAGGAGGAGGAGCAGGAGCAGGAGGAGTAGGAGGAGGAGGAGGAGGAGGAGGAGGAGGAGGAGAAGGAGGGGGAAGGGGAGGGGGAGGGAGGTGGAACGGTGGGAGAAGAAGGAGCAGGAAGGTGAGGGGGGAGGAATGGTTGACGAGGAAGACCAGACACGCATGAGAAAGGAAGCACGTCGTAGGCATGAGGAGGGGAGTCAAAAGTGCTCGTGCTCGTGCCTTGGCCGGCTGTGGCCGAGGAGAGTGCGACGATCTTCTGCGCCGGCAGGGGCAGCCCAGTGGTCGCCTTCCCTCCACTGCTCCTGCTGCTGCTGCTGCTGCTCCTGCTGCTGCTGCTGCTGCTGCTGCTGCTCCTGTTGCGCTGGCCTCTCCGGCGCAGGAAGCGCAAGAACCTGACATCGTTGGGACTTTTTTTTTTCGGCGAGGGCCATCAGAGAGCATATTGGATCATCTTTCGCAAGCTCGGGGAATGGACGTCCGAGCGATGGCGAAAGGATCGGAGTGATGCGCCTGTTTTCCACCGCCACCACCATAAGTTGAGCGCGCCCGTTGTGTTACTTGGGGGGGGATCGGGTTTTGAGCTGATGTCATTTCCCTTTAAGTCCCTTCCCCTTAATTCTTCCCTTCCCGTTAATTATTCCCGTTGATTGTCTTGTATGCCTTTTGATTTTCTTGTCTTCTCGTTAATTGTCTTGTGTTCCCGTTAATTGTCTTGTCATGTATTCGCGTGAATTGCCTTGTATTCCCGTTCATTGTCTTGTATTCCCTTTATCTGTTACTTTTCGACTCCAAGGCCCCCGTGGGTGCGTTCGCATACAGGAGGAGACGGAGGAGGAGGAGGAGGAGGAGGAGGAGGAGGAGGAGGAAGAGGAGGAGGAGGAGGAGGAGGAAGAGGAGGAGGAGGAGGAGGAGGAGGAGCAGAATCTCCGTATTCTCCCTCCATTTCTGGGTTCTGGGAGATCCTGGGAGGTCCCGAATTAACGGGGATTAGTGCAGGCATTAGAGGGAAACGTTTCCCGGGAAGTCCCGGGAGGTGGGGCCCCGGGAGGTGGGGGTTTTCCCGGTAATTCGTTGTGATTGTTTTAATCAGTATAATTTTAGGGAAATTATCGGGAAGAGTTCCCGGGAGGTTGGGCCCCGGGAGGTCCCCGGGAGGTCCGCGATCTCCGTGCGACCGGGTAGAAATGGACCATTCTGTTTCCCTTGTCAAGGTATTTGCGGTCCCCCGCCAGGACTTCCCCGTCGATTCTTTACAGCCCTCGTCGTTGTCCTCTGCTCCTGATTTCTCTTCCTCTCGTCTTCCTGTTAACGTGCCCCGGCCAGTGTCGGGGATCCAGAAGCTCGCTTTCGTAGCGTCGAGCAGCTCACTGCTCACTGCGCTCTGAGACCGGTAACGCCTTGTCAGGCTCTTCTCCCTTCTTTCATCTCTCTCCGCCTTTCTCCCCTCTCCCCTCCCTCATCCTCTCTCTTCATCCTTCGCCTTACCTCTCTTCTCTTCTCCTGTCATCTCCTCCTCTCCTCTCTTTCTTTCCCTTCACCTCCTCTTCGTCGTCCTCCTCGTCCTTGCCTCTCTCCTTCTCCTCCTCCTCCTCCTCCTCCTCCTCCTCCTCCTCCATCCCTTTCCCTTTCGAATAACTCATGCCTGTCGCATCCCCAGACGTGTCGGTAGGGTAGGCTGGGCGTAACGTCTGAGACTTCCTAAACATGTCTGATCCTGAAGTTTGAGATTGCAGCACTTCCAATGATACAGGACGGCCCATTGTCATAATGTGGTTTTGACCTTAGCGTTACGCACATTCGTCTTACAAGCTTGCAGCAGGGCGGCCCGTTTTGAAGATGTGGCTCTCGTTTCAGCGCCGCGCAGATTCGTTGTCAGAGTTTGCAGCAGTCTTAAAGGATAGAGGGCGGCGCGTTTTAGAGATGTGGCTCTCGCTTCAGCGCCGCGCGTAAACGCATCTTAAAGGATGGAGGGTGGCTTCTTTTCAAAATGTTGCTCTCGCTTAATCGCCGTGCGCATTCATCTTCAACGCTTACGGCAGTTTCAAGGGTTTTCAGGGTTGAAGTCCCAGGAATTGCGTTTTGGTGCGTTTTCGGATTGTCAAGACGCACCTGCCACGTTGATTTGTAAGTCCCCGGAGTGTTGCTCTGGCGCGATTTTGTATTGTCAGGACGCCACAGTCACTCTGGGTTGCGGCGATGAGGTTCAAGGAATGATGTTCTGGCGCGTGTTGACTTTCTCACACGGTATTATTTGAATGTGGCATTTCTGCGAATGAAAATACATACTTGTCGAAATGTGTGGAGAGGAGAGTCGGAGAAAGGGTTGATTGCAGCATCGTTGATGCGTTTTGGGTTCACAGGTCCTCCTCCTCCTCCTCCTCCTCCTCCGCCCCTCTCAGCTGCGAGGATGAAGCAGGACCGCCCTGCGCGCCAGTCTCCAGCCGTGCCGCCTGCCTGCGGTGCCCCCCACCCACGCGGCGAGGCGTGCGTGCTGTGCAGCCCGCTGGCGGAGCCGAGCATCGTCGGCGCCTTCGACTGCCGCGGCTCGGCGCTCCGTCCCGCCGTTGCCGCGGTGCCGTCCCCCGTTCCCCCCCCCCTCCCTCCCTGTCCTTCTCCCTGTTCTCCTCGCTGCTGCTGCCCCTCCCCCCTCCTCTGCGCCCTCCCCGTCCCCCCTCCTCGCTCATCCTCCCTCCTTCCTCCCCCCCCCCTCCGCTTCCACCTCCTTCCACAATTACTCAATATGAAAATGCTCTCCTTCTTCCCCTGATGGCGTCCGGGTGATGGCCGCGCACCCTCCGCGCATTGTTACCTAACAGCTTTTGCTGATAGGTTTCTAGTGGTGTCAAAAGAGAGCAGCAGATGACTCCACAGGGGGGTCGGGGCGGGACCCGGGGAGCTGTATCCGAACTCGTGTCCGAACTCGTTTTTTCAAACAGTCACACACTTCGTGCTCTTCGACCTCCCAGAACTCCATTCCCGGGCCACATTCTGAATGCCCGGAGCCAACTGTAGGCCACTTCGTGCTCTTCGACTTCCCAGAACTCCATTCCCGGGCCACATTTTGAATGCCCGGAGCCAACTGTAGGCCACTTCGTGCTCTTCGATTCCCAGAACTCCATTCCCGGGCCACATTTTGGATGCCCGGAGCCAACTGTAGGCCACTTCGTGCTCTTCGAGTTCCCAGAACTCCATTCCCGGGCCACATTTTGAATGCCCGGAGCCAACTGTAGGCCACTTCGTGCTCTTCGAGTTCCCAGAACTCCATTCCCGGCCACATTTTGAATGCCCGGAGCCAACTGTAGGCACTTCGTGCTTTGAGAACTCCATTCCCACCATTTTGAATGCTTGTAGGTGGTCTTCGAGTTCCCAGATTGAATGTTGAGGCAGGCTGATGCTGAGGCTGAGGCAGGCTGAGGCAGGCTGAGGCTGAGGCTGAAGGCAGGCTGAGGCTGAGGCTGATGCAGGCTGAGGCTGAGGCAGGCTGAGGCTGAGGCTGGCTGAGGCTGAGGCTGAAAGCAGACTGAGGCTGAGGCTGAGGCTGAGGCAGGCTGAAAGCTGAGGCTGAGGCAGGCTGAGGCTGAGGCTGAAGGCTGAAGGCTGAGGCTGAGGCTGAGGCTGAGGCTGAAGGCAGACTGAGGCTGAGGCTGCAGGCTGAGGCTGAGGCTGAGGCTGAGGCTGAGGCTGAGGCTGAGGCTGAGGTGATGATGATGATGCAGGTGAGGCTGAGGCAGGCTGATGGGCTGAGGCCGAGGCTGAAGGCAGATTGAGGCTGAGGCAGGCTGAGGCTGAGGCAGGGGAGGCTGAGGCTGAGCAGGCTGATGCTGAGGCAGGCCTGAGGCTGGGCTGAGGCTGAGGCAGGCTCAGGCTGAGGCTGAGGCTGAGGCTGAGGCCGAGGCTGCTGAGGCAGACTGAGGCTGAGGCTGAAGCATCTGAGGCTGAGGCTGAGGCTGAGGCTGAGGCTGAGGCTGAGGCTGAGGCTGAGGCTGAGGCTGAGGCAGGCTGAGGCTGAGGCTGAGGCTGATGCAGGCCACTGCGACTGTCATCGCGAATGCGACTGCGACTGCGAGAACAGCAGAATTCTACAACTGGATTCTCATCTGAATCTTAAGGGGGATGCTTCCAGATATGCTCCTACACATCGCTGTTAGGTTGCTTTGCCGGGATATTTTTTTTACACACAGGATTCCCGGGAAATCCCGGGAAACGACTCGCTGAGGCGCCGGCGTCATTTTCGGGCCGAACGCCCCCCGCGTACTGTTTTTTTACACACAGGATTCCCGGGAAACGGGTTTTCGCTTGCGTTTTACCTAACAGCGAAGACTGATAGGTTTCTAGTGGTGTCAAAAGAGAGCAGCAAATGATTCCACAGGGGGGTCTGGGCGGCATCTGGGGAGCTGTGTCCGAACTCGTGTCCGAACTCGTTTTTCGGAAACAGTCACACACTTCGTGCTCTTCGACTTCCCAGAACTCCATTCCCGGGCCACATTCTGAATGCCCGGAGCCAACTGTAGGCCACTTCGTGCTCTTCGACTTCCCAGAACTCCATTCCCGGGCCACATTTTGAATGCCCGGAGCCAACTGTAGGCCACTTCGTGGTCTTCGAGTCCCCAGAACTCCATTCCCGGGCCACATTTTGAATGCCCGGAGCCAACTGTAGGCCACTTCGTGCTCTTCGAGTTCCCAGAACTCCATTCCCGGGCCAGATTTTGGATGCCCGGAGCCAACTGTAGGCCACTTCGTGGTCTTCGAGTTCCCAGAACTCCATTCCCGGGCATGATTTTGAATGCCCGGAGCCAACTGTAGGCCACTACGTGGTCTTCGAGTTCCCAGAACTCCATTCCCGGGCCATGATTTTGGATGCCCGGAGCCAACTGTAGGCCACTTCGTGGTCTTCGAGTTCCCAGAACTCCATTCCTGGGCATGATTTTGAATGCCCGGAGCCAACTGCAGGCCACTTCGTGTCCTTCGAGTTCCCAGAGCTCCATTCCCGGGCCACATTTTGAATGCTGAGGCAGGCTGATGCTGAGGCTGAGGCAGGCTGAGGCTGAGGCAGGCTGAGGCTGAGGCCGAGGCTGAAGGCAGACTGAGGCTGAGGCTGAAGCAGGCTGAGGCTGAGGCTGAGGCAGGTTGAGGCTGAGGCAGGCTGAGGCTGAGGCTGAGGCTGATGCAGGCTGAGGCTGAGGCAGGCTGAGGCTGAGGCCGAGGCTGAAGGCAGACTGAGGCTGAGGCTGAAGCAGGCTGAGGCTGAGGCAGAGGCAGGCTGAGGCTGAGGCAGGCTGATGATGAGGCAGGCTGAGGCTGAGGCTGAGGCTGATGCAGGCTGAGGCTGAGGCAGGCTGAGGCTGAGGCCGAGGCTGAAGGCAGACTGAGGCCGAGGCTGAAGCAGGCTGAGGCTGAGGCTGAGGCAGGCTGAGGCTGAGGCTGAGGCAGGCTGAGGCTGAGGCAGGCTGAGGCTGAGGTTGAGGCTGATGCAGGCTGAGGCTGAGGCAGGCTGAGGCTGAGGCTGAGGCTGAAGGCAGACTGAGGCTGAGGCTGAGGCTGGCTGAGGCTGAGGCTGAGGCAGGCTGAGGCTGAGGCTGAGGCAGGCTGAGGCTGAGGCTGTGACTGCGACTGCCGTTGCCACTGCGAATTTCATCGCGAATGCGACTGCGACTGCGAGAACAGCAGAATTCTACAACTGGATTCTCATGTGAATCTTAAGGGGAATGCTTCCAGATATGCTCCTACACATCGCTGTTAGGTTGCTCTGCCGGGATATTTTTTCAAAATGATGCTCTCGCTGAGGCGCCGGCCTCATTTCTGCTCCCGAATCATTCCGAATCGTACTCCCGCTGCAGCGTGGGCCTCATTTTCGGATCGGTGTTTGGCCTCCGTCGTTCAGGATGGCGTTCTCGCCCCAGCGCGGGCCTCTTTCTCGCGCGCCCATCCGCCCGCCACCACCGCGCCGCACCACCACCACCACCACCACCACCACCACCACCACACACACCACCACACCACCACTCCACCTCCACACACCACCACACCACCACCACACACCTCCCACCACCACAACCACACCACCACCACCACCACACCATCACAACCACACCCAGCCCAGCACAACACCAGCACGAGCACAGCACCAGCACCAGACAGCACAGCACCAGACTGTCCACCACCACCACCACCAGCACCACCACCCACCACCAGCACCACCACCACACCACCACCACACCACCATCACCACCACCACCACCACCACACCACCACACCACCACCACCACCAACCACACCACACCACCACCACCACCACCACCACCACCACCCCCACCACCACCACCACCACCACCACCACCACCACGACAACCACGCACACACGCACGCACGCACGCACGCGCACCACCACCCACTACGCACGCGCGCGCGGAGCCACAGGTCCGCTACGACACGCGTCCGCGGATAGAGAAAATCAGCGCCATGGTAAGGGATGGGAGGGAGGGGTTGGACGTCAGATATGACGCGGGAGCGCACTAGTGTCCCTCTCCCCTACCCCCCCCCATCCTCCTGCCGCCACCCTCTCGTCCTGTGCCAGCCTGCCCTCCTCCCCCCCTGCCTCCTCCCCGCCCCTCCTCCCCGCCGCCATGCCGCCGCCGCCGCTGCGCTGCCGCCCAGAGGGCAACCCCCCTCCCCCCTCGCCCCCCCCCCCCCCCCCCCCCCTTCGGTGCTCCGACCGCGCGGCGGGCACTCCGTGGTCGGGGGACGCCGCCCCCTTCCCCTCCTCCGCCTCCTCCCCTTCCTTGGCAGCGCTCGGGCGTGTGCCTTTTGTTTCCTCGGCGAGAACCACCGAGGCCAATCCTCGACCAGCTGGCGCGAAACAGCCACGCACGAACACCGACAAATGCACAGGGGATGGACGTCCGAGCGATGGCCAGCTTCGCTCCTCCGCCTCCCTCCCGCCTCCTCCGGCGCCCCCGCCTCCCGCCGCCGCTCGCCGCCCCGGACGCCGCGCACGGCGCGGCCCGCGGAGTCCGCCGCGGTGCGGCCGCTGCCGGGAGAGGGTCCACTGCATGGGCGCGGGCCGTCGGTGTCGTTCAACCGGCCCCTCGCCCCTTGTCCCGATCCCTATCCCGATCCCCACCATCTTGCCACCCTAATTAATTAGTTGGGGGTCTGCCCCTCGACGCCCGAAGGGAGCAGCCCGTATTCCCCATCCAGAGGGGGCAGATCGGCCAGCGGGGCCCAGGCTACGCCAGTGGGGATCGGGATGGGTGAGTCGATGCCCAGGCCATGCCGTGGCAGCCGTCCTGGCCGTGGCGTCTGTCCGTTGCGTTTGACGGGGGCCCGCAAAGCGCGCATGCTGGCTGCGGCTTGGTCATCTGCATCGAGGCGCTGGACAGACAGCGGGTCCTCGGGCAACGCCTCAGCTACCTGGGGGACGGCAGTCCCAGAGGCGGAGCTGTAGGGGTGTTGGCTGGTGCCAGGCGCAATGCACAGACTTCTGGAATGCCTACAGTTGGCGCGACTTTTGGAAGTATGTGGCAGATGAGGCAGAGGCCATCGTGGGCACAGCTACAGATGATCCGCTTGAACGAGGTTTGTGCCGACGACAGCACCTGTACGACATGCGTTGTCAGTTTCGAGATCGGCTTGCGCATAGGTTTCATATACTTCGTCATGTATTCCATCTACTTCTTCGTACATTGCATCAAGTGCACTAGTATCACGGTATTCTGCTTCATTTGCCTTGTCGTTCTCGTGAATGTCGTTGTTTTCTTGGGGCCTTTCGTGCTCTAAGTGCCCGGCGCGGTCGCCGCGCGGACTGGTTTTCCGCTCTATTCCTCTCTTAATGCTCCCCCTTCCTCCTCCTCCCCTTCCCTCCTCCCTCCTCCCCCTCCTCCTCCTCCTCCTCCTCCTCCTCCTCCTCCTCCTCCTTGTCTCTCTTCTTCGCCCTCACCTCTCACCTCTCCACCTCACGTATCCCGTGACGTGTAGGTAGGGCGCACCAGCTTTGTTTCTGAATATGTTCTCTACCACTAATGATCTGGATGCTTTCAACATTTTCAAGAATGGATGACGGGCGGTTTTCACAAGGTGTTTATCGCGTCAGCGCCGTGCACATTCGTCTTACATGTTTGCAGCAGTATCACGGATGGAGAGTGTGCTTTTTCCCAACCTTCTTGTGGTGGGGTCCTTGTTTTGAAGAGACAGCGCCCCGCGTCCCACCTCCTCCTCCCTCCTCCCCCTCCTCCCATCTCCCAGTCCTTGCCTTTGCCTTCATAATGTTTCCGTTTCAAAAACAACCCTCACACGTTTGGCGGCCCCATCGGGAACCCCACCTAAGGTCGCAGTGGCGCAATTCGCATGGCGCCGCCGCCCCATTGCGGCACACCCCTCACACGTTTGTGGCACCAAAGGGGGCTCCACCTAAGGTCCCAGTGGCGCAGTTCGCATGTCGCCGCCGCCCCATTTTGGCACGCCCCTCACACGTTTCGCGGCCCCATATGGAGCTCCACCTAAGGTCGCAGTGGCGCAGTTCGCATGGCGCCGCCGCCTCATTTTGGCACGCCCCTCATACGTTTCGCGGCCCCATATGGAGCTCCACCTAAGGTCGCAGTGGCGCAGTTCGCATGGCGCCGCCGCCCCATTTTGGCAGACCCTTCACACGTTTCGTGGCCCCAAAGGGAGCTCCACCTAAGGTCGCAGTGGCGCAGTTCGCATGGCGCCGCCGCCCCATTGTGGCACACTTTCACACGTTTCGTGGCACCAAAGGGAGCTCCACCTAAGGTCGCAGTGGCGCAGTTCGTATGGGGCCGCCGCCCTATTGTGGCAGACCCTTCACACGTTCCGTGGCTCCACCATAGGGAACCCCACCTAAGGTCGCAGTGGCGCAGTTCACATGGCGCCGCCGCCCCATTTTGGCAGACCCTTCACACGCTTCGTGGCCCCATAGGGAGCTCCACCTAAGGTCCGGGTGGTGCAGTTCGCACGGCGCCGCCGCCCCATTTAGGCACACCCTTCACACGCTTCGTGGCCCCATAGGGGCCGCCCCATTTGGCACACCCTTCACACGTTTCGTGGCACCATACGGAGCCCCACCCAAGGTCCCAGTGGCGCAGTTCGCATGGCGCCGCCGCTCCATTTTGGCGCACCCCTTACACGTGGCGCAGTTGGCATGGCGCCGCCGTCACATTTTGGCACGCCCCTCACACGCTTCCTGACCCCAGGGGAGAAGAGGATCTATCTGAAGCACTTGCCGCTGGGGTTCTGGGTGCACATGGAGGAGTACGCGAGCGCGCCCTTCGTGCACGACCCCAAGCGCCACGACGATAGCCTCACGGGGGACCTCACGGGCCCGCTGGTGTTCATCGAGCCTCGCACGTCGGAGCCGTTCACGTTCCGCACCTCCAAGGTCAGCCGAACGGGCTTCCCGTTCTCGCACGGCAGGGTCATCACCGCGGTGGCGTGCCAGGGGCGCATCATGTGCGAAGGCGACGGGGCGAGGGAACGGCGCCCTCTGGGCAGTCTACGGCCAAAGCTTCTGGGCCTGAGCGGTCCGCAGCCAGGACTTCACTCCGGTCCTTGGGCTTCGCCCTGAGCGTCGGGATGTCCTGCGCGCTGCTTCTTCGGCCGGACGCGCCCCAGGGTGAGCTGGACTGCGGCGCCACGAGGTGTAGTGAAACGGCGAGAAGGAGGACGACAACTGGTGGCTTTAGCTCTACGCGCTGCTTCTTTTTTTTTTTTTTTTTTTTTTTTTTTTTTTTTATTTTTTTTTTTTTTATCTTTTTTTTTTTTTTTACTTTTTTTTTTTTTATTTTTTTCTTTTTTGTTTTTTTTTTTTTTTTTTTTTTTTTTTTTTCTTCTTTTTCTTTTTTTTTTGTTTTTTTTTATTTTTTTTTTTTTTTTTTTTTTTTTGTTTTTTGTTTGTTTTCTCTAACGCGCTGCTTTCGCGCGCCGCGCGCCGCGCGCCACGAGGACCTCCATCTCGCGCGGGCGCCGCGCGTCGAGTTCTTCCTGGCAGGGCCGCCGGAGGGCTTGCGGAAGCAGCTGGGACAGTTTGCCACGCGCGCGAAGCGGCGCAGGAGGGGGGCGGCGGCCCTCGCCAGGGAGCTGAGCTTCACCGAGTTTATCCGCGAGGCTTGACCTGAGGAGCGGCCCGCCCGAGCCTCGCCGTCTCTCGACGGTCTGACTGTTTGGCCTCGCGCAGCGGGCGACCCGCGAGCGTCGCTGGGGCCCTCTCGGGGCGACCGGGGCGCGTCGCGGGAATTCCGCGCTGCGCTCTGCCCAGAACCTTGCTCGCCCCCGTCGTCGCTCTGCCTGGCGGCCGCAGCTTTGTCCGCTATCAGCCAGCCAGCTAGCTCTCTCTGCTCTGCGCGACGGACGACCTGCGCGCGTCGCTGGGGCCCCTCCGGGGCGACCGACGCGCGTCGCGGGGGCTCCGCGCGGCGCTGCGCCCGCAGCCTTGGACGTGGGCGCGCGCGGGCGAAGAGGGAGAAAAAGAACGGGAAGGAAGCGGGCGCGATCCTCGTGAGGAGCGTGCCGACGCGGGCGTTGCGGCGCGCGGGCGTTGCTCGGGGGGCGTTCCTGCGGCGGCCGCGCTTAGTGTCGCGAGTGCTCAGGATCAGGCGTGCGTGAACCATTCACATTCGTGTGTATATATACATATACACCAGGCGCGGCCGCGCTCGCATTCGTGCAAATATACCCACTCGCACGAAGAGTCAGTCACGATCAGACTCACTCGCGCCTAGAGTCACCCGCGCCCAGTCCCTCGTGAGTAGACCTATCGTCATCGTTCGTGTTGGCAATTCGGCGCACCCCTCATGCGGTTAGTGGCCCCATAGGGGGCGTCGCCGAAGAGTGAATTCGCAATTGCGGTACTCACAACTGCATATGCTTGGGTCGTTTGCCTGGCTAATGTTTAAACTTGTGGCCCTCGCTTCAGCGCCGCGCGCATTCGTCTTGAAATGTTGCACCATCATCGCGGAGGCAGGGCGGGTCGTTTTCAGATTGTGACTATCGTCGTAACGACGCCCGAATTTTGTTTATGCGCGTATTGTATACATACACACATATGCAACATACTGGAACATGAATGTGTATATGTTCATGTGCAGAACTTGACGGAGGGCAGTCGTACGGCTCAAGGGTGGAGGAGGCTACTTTTCATGATGTTGTTCTCGCCTCGGCGCCGCGCGCACTGGTGCTGAAATTCCGCAACGGTCCGACGGACTCGTAGGGGTGAGTGAAGTCCCGGGAATGGTGTCCTGGTAAGTTTTGCCACGACGCGACAGTCTCGTTGATTCGCGCAGTTCCTTTCCCAGGAATCGTGTTTTGGCACTCTTTGGTACGCTTGAGCATTCGCGAACGGTCGTCTTCCAGAGCTCTGTTTTGGTAGGGGCCTGCGAAGTGGGGGTTGGGGGGAGGGTTTATTGCGCCATCGTTGACCAGGCTCTGGTTTACATTGGTCCTCCTCCTCTTTTTTCGTGATCCTCTTTTCCGTGCGCCCCCGACGCCTGCCCCCACCTCCCAGCGGCGAACAAACGGGGAACAGAGGAGGAACAATCTCTTCTCAGAAAGCGGCGGGACTTTTCAGATGCCTTCGCGCCTTCTGAGAGTTTTTCCGCATCTTCCAGGAAGGCTCATGAAATTTCTCAGAAGGCCGGGGGACTTTCCAGCCTTTTGAAAAGGCCCGCCCTTTTTCATTCCCTCCCAGGGAGGAGGAGGAGGAGGAGGAGGAGGAGGAGGAGGAGGAGGAGGAGGAGGAGGAGGAGGAGGAGGAGGAGGAGGGAGGAGGAGAGGAGGAGGAGGAGGTAGGAGGAGGAGGAGGTGGAGGAGGAGGAGGAGGAGGAGGAGGAGGGGCAGGAGGAGCAGGAGGAGCAGGAGGTGGAACTCGCCGCCGAGCTTCGCCTGCCGCCCCCCGGCGAGGGCCGTCGCTGTGACCTCGCGCTCGCCGCGTCCGCGGCGGGCCGGCCGCCTGCTGCTTCGGCGGCGGGCGGCAGCACGCTGGGCGCCGCCGCGCGCCGCCGCCGCGGCCCTCGCTGCAGCTGCTGCTGCTCCCCTCTGCGTCCTCGTCGTCGTCGTCGTCGTCGTCGTCGTCGTCGTCGTCGTCGTCGTCGTCGTCGTCCTCGTCCTCGTCCTCGTCCTCGTCCTCGTCCTCGTCCTCGTCCTCGTGTCGTCGTGTCATCGTCGTCCTCCTCGTCGTAGTCGCCCTCGTCCCGCCTCCTCGCGCCTCGTCCTTGTCGTCGTCGTCGTCCTCCTCCTCTTCCTCCTCCTCTTTCTTCTCCTCCTCCTCCTCCACCTCCTCCTCCACCTCCTGCTCGTCCTCCTCGCTGCTGCCGCATTTCCTGCGGGTTGGATACCTCTTGCGCCGGGGCGGCCTTGAGCTGGGAAGATACCCGCGACGTGGTAGCATATTGACCTTCGAGGGGCTGCGTCGACCGTGCAGCACTCCACATTGTCTCCATCGGGCACCGCAGGAGAGACCCAACTCCATGCGCCGTCACCCTCAACGCCGCGGCCAAGCTCACCGTGCTATGCGGTCATGGGCGCAATCCCGCTGAGGGAGACAACTCGCAATGACCAGTGTGAGCGCCTTGCGCCAGTTTGGCCTGACCAAGTTCACTTACCTTTCCTCATCTCTCTTTCAGAAGCCCCAGATCGTATCTCACGGTGGTCAGGGTCGATGCGTTCGCTGCATGTACGCTGCGTGATTTGTTTGGGGGACGTGGCGCGGCAGGCGTATGGAAAGGGTAGCGTCGCATTGGAAAGCGCAGAGGTATGAGCAGCAGCACATCATGCAACATATGTGTGAACGTGTGCGTGCGCATACGTGTGCGACATCCGCGGCCGTCTGCATGTTCAGTGCGCGTACCGCGCGCGGCGTCGGTCGTCTGCGCGCTGGGCTGTGCCACTGGGCCCCGCGCGCGGGCCGCCCGCGCGGCGCTGGGCCCCGTTCGCCTGCGCGCGCGCTCGCGCCACTCAGCCGTCTACGAGGTCCGCGCTCGCGCTGGGGAGGGCGACGTGCGCGACCATGCCGAGGGAAGCGGCCGCGGGAGTCAAGCGGCCCGCCACTCATCGTCTCCCGAGGTGAGCAGCGCCAGCCCGCTTCTTCGGCGCAGCGGTGGAGCGCCAGCCAAGTGCGCCCCCATCAAGGCATCAATGCTTCCGCCCCCGTCAAGGGTTGCACCGCGGTTCGCTCCCCGGTTATTCTTCGACCCCTCCAGACACCTAACCGAACGCCGCGCTCCACCGCCACCGCCGCGACGACGGACTCGGGAGAGCCCAGCCCTCGCCGACGTGACGTTCTACGCCGACGCAGCCGCGAGGACAAAGAGTCTCCCGCAGCCGCGAGGACAAAGAGTCTCTTCCTGCGCGCCGCCGCAGCACCCCTCGGTCGCGCAGCCCTGCCGCCATGCGCGGACCCGGCAACGCCCTTCGCCCATCGCTATGCCCAAGTCGCGGGCGCCAGTGCCGCAGATGGCCGAAGGCCCCGTCGTATATTCCGATGAGGACTAGAAGAGGGCGGAGGACATTGCGGAGGTGATGGTGGCGAGACCCCTCACGCCGACGGAGTTGCAGGATGCCGTCCGCGTCGGCCGCTACTTGCGCACCGAGCACCACGAGCCCCAGCCGCTCGCCGAGGACATCGCCAGGCAGATGATGTTTTCGGACGGCTGCCTGAGCCTCGAGTGCCGCGTTGCGCCTGGACACGAGGTGAGGGTGCTGAGCGACCATTTTCGTGTCGACCCCGACGCGTTGCCCACGGTGGAACGCCAGCCAGTGCCGTCACCATCAGTGACGGTGGCGGCTCAGCGTTTGGCGTCGCATTGGGCTGGCACCTTCAGCAAGGAGCGCCGGATCGCGTGCCGCCGCCACTTGCGCTTAGTGGCTGGGTGAAGCTGGTCCAGCACGAGGGCCCGATGATCCTGGCTTTGGGCACCCAGGCCGCCGAGCATCACCATAAGCGCCGCGCTCGCTCGCCCGAGCCGAATAGCAGGCCATCCAGGCCAGAGCTGGCGGTCAAGCCGCCTCTGCCCCCTGGGCCCTCGCCCAGGGCCAGCTGCTGATGCGTGCCCGTTCCGGCTCGCCACGCGAGCCCGAGCGCCCATCGGCAGCCGCGGCCGTGCGCAGTGCGTTCAGCAGCGCGCGAAGGGCGGCAAGGACGGCAAGGGCAAGCCCAAGAAGACGCGCCCGGTGGCCTCAAGAGGAAGGAGGCGCGGGGCGTGAAGCGGGCGGCAGCGCTCAGGGCGAAGTGGGACAAGACCGCCGACGCCAGCGAGGAGCAACGACAAGGCCGCCGACGCCAACGAGGATAATGACAACGAGGAGGACGCCCCGCCCACCAAGGAAGCGGAGGGGCCTGCCCCGGACAGCGCCGCCGCGGTCTCGAACAACAACATAATGCCAGGGTCGTCCGCGGTGACGCCGCTGGGGAAGACGCGGACTGAGCGGCGAGGCGAGGCGCAGGACATCGTCAGCCGCGCCCCCATCAAGGGGAAATCCCTTATCCTTCCTTCCCGCTCCAACCTGCCAGTCCAAGGTCTGGGCTGCGCGTGCCAACCCACGTCGAGCTTCGCTCGTCTTTCGCTTGTTTCGACCACGGCGCGCGGCCCCTCATTTTGACGCCGACACGGCGCGCGGCAGGGTGCGCGCGGTTCGCCGCGCCCGCGCGCGCGCCAGGCGGCATCTTGGAAACGCGTGCGAATTGGGAAGGTGCGCGGGGGTTGGGCAGTTCTGGCTGTCCACTTTCTCGGCTCGTTCGCTCCGCCAGGGCTGTTCGATCGCCCGCGCAATTCCGATTCGAAAAGGATGCCGGGATGCCATTTGGCTGGAACGCTGGCGCGTGCGCATCTGACGTGGCAGAATGTTCGGCATCTGTTATGCTCTGTTCTTGCCGTCATTTTACGCCCTCAATTCTAATTCCTCCTCCTCCTCCTCGCTCCCCACCCGCAAGGGGCGTTGGGGCTGACTGAGGCGCCGAGGTGTCCCAGCGCTGCTGCGGGCCAGCAGGCTAGGGGGGGAAGAAGGGCCCCCCCTCGTCGCCGCGGCCGCACGGGGCTCGGGACAGCTGGTTGGTTTCGACCCTTGGGGGGTTTTGGCGGGTGAGTTTAAATTGATTTGCTTTAATCCCCCCCGCCCCTTCGAATGAGAAGATGATATCAACATGAACTTTCGGAGCTCCGCGCGGATTTCTTGGATCGGCGCTGCGCCCCCCCAAGCGGCGCCTCCGGCGCCGCCCTGGCTCGTTCCGCTCGCTGTTCGTCAGTTTGGCTGTCGATCCTGGTGTCGCCGTGGGCTCATGCGAAGACGGACGATGTTTTGGGGGGATCATGTCAGCTGGTGATTAGAAAATGAGTGCCCCCCCCCCGGGCTGATGAATGGACCCCGTGGGGCGCGACATTTTTTCGGTACTCGCGCTCGCCAGCTCTGGCCGGGGCGACGAAGAGAGCGGGCGGTGCAGGCGGGCGGAGGTATGGCGGGGGACGGCGGCGACGACGACGGCGACGGCGAGGGCGACGACGAGGAGTCCAACGACTACGGCCACGACGACGACGGCGGCGGCGGCGGTCGCAACGACGACCGCGACAAGGGGGAGAAGGACTGAAAGGCTGGGGAAGGAAAGGGGCGGTTGCGAAGCCTGCTGCGCGCAGCTGGTTTCGGTCGCCCCGCCGAGGGGCCAGTCCTCGACGCATGGCCGCCTTCGGCGCCAGGAGGTGCTTGGAAAATCAACGACGTGAGCTGCTCGGCGAATCCTCACTTTGCCACGCCCCCTTTTCGTCAAGCCCGCCTTGAGTCCGCGGGCTCGCGCGGCAGCTGTCGCCATCCTGGCGCATCGGTTCGACGGATAAGAGGGGCGCCCTGGCTCGCCCTTCCCTCCACCCCCCCCGCGTCCGGTCTGTGCAATCTGTCTCGCGCTGTCGGCCGGGCGTCGGCGCCAATCGCTGGCGCCGCCGCCGTTGTTTTTCAACCTGGCGGGCCCAACCCCGCTTCGTTCGAGCACGGAAGCCATTTAAAGAACACGCGCCCATCACGGATTTGTTAATCACCAGCTGACATTAGGCCCCGAGTGGCGAAGCGACCCTGGATGACCCAGTGACCCAGGAACTGACACCTTCCGCCGCACAGTTACGTGCGGGTTCGCTACCGAGCTCCAGCCGCCAACTTCCGGTATTGGCGATGCGTACCCGACTCCCGGGCGATGCTCGCCCCCCGTGGGCCAGTCCGCCTCTTGACCGCTGGCCCTCGTGCGAGGACGCAAGGGGGGTGAGAAGAGTGAGGCCGTGACGGCGGCGGGCGGGGCAGCGCGCGAGGTCATCGGGGCCTCTAGCCCTCTGGTGGCCGGGCGTGGGTGCACGCGCGCGCGCGAGGCATGTGCATGGCCCTGTGCGCCCTGCCGGCGCTGGGGGCCTCGTTCCTGCTGGCGGTCTACGAGTCCACGGACGCCTGCGTGTGGGACCTGCGCTCGCCGCGGGAGCGCGGCCGCCCCGCGGCTGCCGGCGGGCGGGCGCCGCCGCCTCCTCCTCGTACTCCTGCAGGGCGGGGGCCCTGGCGCAGGGAAGCGTCAGTCCCTGGACGACTATATCATAGAAGGAAGAGGGGTAGAGCCGCACACAGGATGATGAGGAGTAGGTTGACGAACGGATTTGATGTTGATCTTGACGTGGATGTTGATGGTGGTGCTGCTGATGATGCGAATTCTGCTGATAGGGCGATTGAATCAGATGGTGAGGATGATGACGATGATGACCATGATGATGATCATGATGAGCATGGTGATGCTGCTGATGATGATGGAGATGCTGATTATAATGATGATGATGTTGATGGCGATGGCACTGGAAGTGATGATGGTGAGGGGCCCGTGAGGGGGTGGTGGTGACGAGATCATATCGAGGATGGACTTGATACGACGACGACTATGATGATTGCGATCATGGCGGCAGCGGTGTGCTGGTGCTTGGGATTATGACGAGAGTGTTGACGATGATGGTGATAATGATGATGCTGATGCTGATGCTGATGCTGCTGATGATGGTTGTGATGGTGATGGTGATGGTGATGTTGCTGATGAGGATGAGGATGAAGATTATGATGAGGATGATGATGATGATGATGTTGATGATGCTGATGATGACGATGATGTTGATGATGATGGCCATGTTGCTGATGAGTATGGTGATGGTGATGATGGTGATAATGATGATGAGATGAGATGATGATGATGATGATGATGATGATGATGATGATGACGATGATGATGCTGTTGAGGCTGATGATCATTCTGATGATGTTGATGTTGATGTTGCTGTCGCTGCTGCTTCTGCTGCTGATGATGCTGCTGATGATGATGATGATGATGGTGCTGATGGTGATACTGATGATGATGCTGCTGACGATGATGATGATGCTGATACTGATGCTGATGCTGATGATGATGATGATGATGATGCTGATGATGATGATGATGATGATGATGATGATGATGATGATGATGATGATGATGATGATGATGCTGATGATGATGATGATGATGATGATGATGATGATGATGATGATGATGATGATGATGATGATGATGATGATGATGATGATGATGATGATGATGATGATGATGATGATGTGGAGGAGAGAGGAGGAGGAGGAGGAGGAGGAGTGGAGGAGGAGGAGAGGAGGAAGTGGTAGAGAGGAGGAGGAGGGGAGAGGAGGAGGACGAGGACGAGCAGGAGGAGCAGGAGGAGAAGGAGGAAGAGATGCGCGACAAAGTAACACAGATGGACGGGTTGAGCGATCAGTAGCGGAATCGGGAGGGGAGGATGGGTGAGAGGGGGAGGGAGGGGGGTGGGAGGGGGGGAGGGAGGGAGGGAGGGAGGGAGAGAGAGAGAGAGAGAGATAGAGATAGAGAGAGAGAGAGAGAGAGAGAGGAAGTGAGGGAATCAGGGAGAGAGTGAAGGATCGATGGAGGAGGGAGAGGAGAGATTGGAATGGGGGTGTTGAGGGGAGGAAGTAAGGCTTGGGGGTCGTCGCCGTGCTGTCATGAAGATCGGCATCCCAGACCCAACTGCAAATGGGCCCCTCTAAGTGTTTGGGAATGTGGGGACTTGCCTGGACACCCGCGGGCCTCTCTCCCTTTCTCCCTTTCCCCCCTCCCCTCTTGCCTCTCCCATCCCTCCCTGGATCAAGCGGGTTTGGTTCAGGGTATCATGTTGCCATCCCTGACCCGATCGGGATGCTGAGCACCCTGCGAGTAGTTCGACCGTAGGTTTCTTCCTTCGAGGTGGCCCTGAGGACCTGCATGGGCATGCCAGGATGGATCGCAGCACCGCTGGTGTTCGCGAAGCGTCACGCCCCGGAATGCACATTGCGAGTATCAGCGCATTTGGGAAGGGTAGGCAGTGGCAACAGGCGCTGGCGCTTCTGAGAGAAAGTCTCGAAACGAAGGTGGAGGCCAATACCATCATCAGCTTCAACGCTGGGATCAGCGCGTGCGAGAAGGGCAAGCAGTGGCCGCATGCTCTGGCACTCCTCGGGGAGATGCGGGAAACGAGGCTAGCGCCTGATGTCTTCAGCTGCAGCGCTGGCATCAGCGCGTGCGCGAAGGGCCTGCAGTGGCAGCGCGCTCTTGTACTACTTGGCGAGATGCGGGAGGCGAGGTTGGAACCGAACGCCATCAGCTACAGCGCTGGGGTGAGCGCGTGCGAGAAAGGCGACCAATGGCCGAGGGCTCTGTCTTTGCTCGGCGAGATGCACGGTGCGAAGTTGGAGCTCGACGTCATCAGTTACAGCGCTGGGATCATCGCGTGCAGGAAAGGCGACCAGTGGCAGCGGGCACTAGCGCTACTCAGCGAGATGCGGGGTGCGAAATTAGAGCCCAACGTCTTCAGCTACAGCGCTACCATCAGCACATGCGGGAAAGGCGTGCAGTGGCAGCGGAGTCTTGCACTGCTCGACGAAACGAGGGAGGCGAAGTTAGAGCTCGACGTCATCGTTCTCAGCGCTGGGATCAGCGCGTGCGAGAGAGGCCACCAGTGGCAGCGGGCCTTGTTCATGTTGAGCGACATGCGGAAGGCGAAGCTGGATCCTGGCGCAATCGGCTGCAGCGCTGGGATCAGCGCGTGCGAGAAAGGCGAGCAGTGGCAGCAGGCCCTGGCGCTGCTCCGCGAGATGCGAGGGGCGAAGTCCGAGCTCGACGTCATCAGCTACAGCGCCTGTGTAAGCGCGTGCGCGACAGGCGAGCAGTGGAGCAGGGCCCTGTGGCTGCTCGGCGAGATGCGAGGCGCGAAGCTGGTTCCCAATGTCGTTACCTACAATGCTGCGATCAGCGCTTGCGAGAAGGGCGAATGTTGGGAGCGGGGTCTTGCGTTGCTTTGCGAGATGAAGGAGGCGAGGTTGGAGCTCGATGTCATCAGTTTCAGCACCGCGATCAGCGCGTGCGAGAAAGGCCGGCAGTGGCAGAGGGCCTTGGCCTTGTTCAGCGAGATGTGGAAGACGAAGCTGGAGACCGATATCTTCATTTACAGCGCCGGGATCAGCGCGTGCGGTCAGGGCGGGCAGTGGCAGCAGGCTCTGGCGCTGCTCGTCGAGATGCGGGAGGCGAAGTTGGAGCCCAACGCCATCCGGATCTGGCCCCCGTCGGATCCGAGGAGGGCCCCCCCGACAGCACCCAGGCAGCACCGCAGTCTTTGCCGGCCCGCCAGTGCACCGCCCGCGTCGCAAAGGAAGGCTTTCGGTGGACAGGCACGCGTGGGCGCGAATGTTACCAGCCTCGAACGTATCCCTATCCCTAAGATTGGCACGCCAGAAGGCGATGACAGTCTTAGGGACTCGCCTTCAAAAAATAAGGGAATCCCTAAGATGGGCATCGTGATGAGGAGGTGCCCAGCATAGGGATAGGGATATGTTCCAGGCTGGTAATAATGCGCGTTCAGAGGACCATCGACTGGACCCCCTCCCAAGTGGCTCCGGAAAGGAGGCCCTAAGGTGCCCAAGACGGCCCCGGCCCGAGAGGGCCCCGCGAGGGCTCCCAAGAGACACGAGAGGGGGCCAGAGACAGCCGAGCGGCAACACAAACGTACGCGTACGCATCCAAACGCGCAGGTATACAAGACGTGTCCACGGCTCCCAAGGGGGGACCCAACTCCTAGTCGGCGGATTCCTTCCAAGTAGAAACGCTCGCGCGGAGGGGGGGCCCGACGTGCGTCTGGCGAGTGTGCGCGGGGCGGAGGGGCTCCGGCCAGGGGTTCTCGGTGTGTGCGCGGGCCTGTGGCCCCGTACCAGGCGGCTGTCGGCAGCAGGCGTGTGCGGAGGGGCGGGTCTCTCATATGCGCCTCGGCGTGCATGCGGCAGGGCGCCCTCGAGGGCGCGAAGTTATTCGCGCTTCGCGCTTCGCGGTTCGGCTCCGATTCCTCCTCATCCTCCTCTTCTCCCTTGGGAGGCGGCGCGAGAGCGCGAAGTTCTTCGCACTTCGCGCCTTCGCGCCGCGCGAAGCGCGAAGTTGGGAGCCCTTGCATGCGTTTCGGCACGCGCTCGCGCGTGCGCCTCTCGCCACGGCGCGCCCCCCGCAGAGAGGGGGAGCGAGCCTCTGGTCGATGGATTCCGCATGCGTAGAACTACAGTGCCGTTTTCAATACATGCTCCGCGTGCGGATCATGTATTAAACCTGCAGGGGTTTAGTATTGAAGCCACCGATGAGTGCATGCATAACATTTATTCATAAGTTCGTCATGTACTAAAGTCCCATTGTTTTACATCCCATAAATAAAAAACTGCCCTGTACGTGCGCGGAGGGGGGGGGACCCAACATGCGCCTGGCGCGTGCGCGCGGGGTGCGTTTTTTCATGCGCCCGCGGCCCCCATTAAGGGGGCCCCCATTAGTCGTCCGGTTCGTCACACGTGAAAGTACGCGCGCGGAGCGGGTGCCCAACATGCGCCTGGCGCGTGCGCGCCACGGGAGGGGCCCAGCTTCTCGTCGTCGGGTTCCCTACACGAAAACAAATCCTTGTGCGTGGGAGTGGACCTAACAGGCGCCTGGCGCGTGCGCGCGGGGCATGTGTTTTCACATGTTCACGGTCCCCAGAAGGGGGACCCTACTTCTAGTCGTCGGATGCTTCGCGCGTCAGACTGCGCGTGAGGAGGAGGGGGGTCATCACGCCTGGCGCTTGCGCGCGTGGCGTTACGGTTCCGGCCCAGGGCTCTTTCTGTGTAGGGGAACTTTTAGCCCTGGACCCGAATAGCGTCGAGCTCCAGGAGCCGGCTTTCGACATGTAAAATTACGTGTGCGGAGGGGGGAGCCCAACTTGGATCTCGGCGAGCATGCGTTCGGTGTTTTCAATATTTCTCGCCCCCACGGGCCCCCACGGGGGGCCACACTTCTAGTCGTCGGTTTCCGGAGCGCGTGCCCAGGACACCTGTTTTCTTAGCGCGCTGCACGCGCCAGCACTCATTGCCGACGGCTTTAAGCATACTCCACTGCATCTGGTCAAGCAGTCGCCTTCGAAGTTGTGCGGCGATCACCTCCTGGGTGGAGAGGCGGTGGGCAGGGGGCGTTCTTCTGCGATGGAAGTGCTCACGTTGGGCGCGGGGGCGGGAGGAAGTTCGTGGAGCCCGAGTCTGCCCGCCCGAGCCGCGCCCCTGTGCCCAAACTGGTGCCCCAAACTGGTGCCCCACTTTTCAGGAGGGGAAAAAACACACATACACAATTAATCCTCGATTCCCCAGAAAATATGGGAAAATATGGGAAGTGGGGGGGAAGACAGAAACCCAGAACATATGGGAAAATATGGGGAATATGTTTATTTGTGTATATTCATTTGTGTGTCCTGGGGCCCCTTCAACTTTGTCAATCCCCGTGGAAGCACACGGTCTCAGCGCAGAGGGGGCGCCCGACCCAGCGGCTGGCGCGCGTCGGCCTCGCGTCGCTCGGGGGAGCGCCGTTTGGCGCATCGCTCGGGGCACGAGTTTGGGCACTTCGCGGCCCTCTGCGCTCCAGATCGCCCTCCGAGCAGCGCCAGGGTTGCGTGCGTCGCCATCGCGCGCAATGGAGTTGTTGCTGCGCCGCAGTGTTTTGTTGATGGATGATCGTTGGGCGACAGTTCGGAGCATGTGCCCCCTGCTGGTGGGGGCCGGCGTGAGTTGTCACTTGTCCACTGCCCTCCGGGGGAGACCCAACTTCTAGCCGTCGGATGTTTCACACGTGCAAGTGCGTGCGCGGAGGGGGTGGACCCATCCTGCGCCTGGCGCGTGCGTGCGGGACACGTGCTTCCACCGTGCACTTGGTTCCCCAGGGGGGGACCGAACTTCGAGTCGGCGGATGTTGTACAAGTAAGAGCGCGTGCGCGGAGGGGACGTGACCCAACTTCTTTCGATTCGTCGGGCTGGCTCTTCATGCGCAAAAGCACACATGTCAGGAGGGAAAAAACACACAGACACAATTAATCGGCGATTCTCCAGAAAATATGGGAAAATATGGGAAGTGGGGGGGAAGACAAAAACCCAGGAAATATGTGAAAATATGGGGAATATTTTTATTTGTGTGTATTTATTTGTGTGTCCCAGTTCCCCTTCAGTGCGGGGGGGAGGGATCCAACATGCGCCTGCCGCCTGCGCGCGGGGCGCGGGTTCTCACGCGCGTCCCCGGGCCCTCATAAAGGGGGATGCCCAGCTCCCAGCCGTCGGCTTCCTTACGCGTTTTCATACGTGCGCGGAGGGGAGGGGCAGCATCCAACGTGCACCCTGGCGCGTGCGCTCGGGGCACGTGTTTTTTCACGGCTCCAGGGCCCCCCAGAGGGGGTGAGGTCGGGAGAGCGAATGAGGGGGAGGAGGAAGGGGGATAAAGTAGGAGAGAGAACAGGGACGGGGAGGAAGAGGAGGAGGAGGAGGAGGAGGAGGAGGAGGAGGAGGAGGAGGAGGAGGAGGAGGAGGGGGAGGGGGAGGGAGATGGGATGGGATGGGGATGAGCAGGACGAGGCAGGCGATGGGGAGGACAACGAAGAAGAGGAGGACGGCAGGACAGCGACAACGAGGGGCACGAGGGTGGCTGATGACGTTGTCGTTGTTGCAGCTGCTGCTGATGCTGATGATGATACGGGTGATGCTGATGCTGGTGTGGGTCATGAGGATGAGGGTGATGATGATGATGATGCTGACGATGATGATGATGAGGATGATGATGATGCTGCTGATGATGTTGATGATGTTGATGATGATGGTGATGGTGATGGTGATGATGATGACGATGCTGCTGATGATGATGCTGATGCTGATAATGATGATGTTGCTAACGATGCTGAGCATGAGCATGAGGATGAGGATGAGGATGAGGATGATGATGATGATGATGATGATGATGATGATGATGATGATGAATGATGATGATGATGATGATGATGATGATGATGATGATGATGATGATGATGATGATGATGATGATGATGATGATGATGATGATGATGATGATGATGATGATGATGATGATGATGATGATGATGATGATGATGATGATGATGATGATGATGATGGTGGTGATGATGATGATGATCATGAGGATGCTGGTGAGGATGAAGCTTACTATGATGATGCTGATGATGATGGAGCTGCTGCTCACCATGATGATGGTGATGATGAGGAGGAGTACGATGATACGGATGATGCTGATGCTGTTGCTACCTCTGTTGCCGACGATGATGGTGATAATGCTGGTGTGAAGAAAATGATGACGATTGCGATTATGATACTCATGCTGATGATGGCGACTATGACGGCGGTGGTGGTGATTGTGGGGGTGGTGATGATGGTGATGGTGATGGTGTTGATGATGATGGTGGTGGTGATGGTGAGTACGAGCACGAGGATACTGATGATGATGATGATGATGATGATGATGATGATGATGATGATGATGATGATGATGGGGGTGATGGTGATTGCCATGGCTGGGGTGATGATGATGATGACGATGATGCTGATGATGATGACGACAATGACGATGACGATGATGATGCTGAGTATAAAGATGATGCTGATGATGATGGTGATGGTGATGTTGATGAAACTGATGCTGATGATGATGTTGATGCTGCTAATGTTGATGATGGTGGCGGTGGTGATGGTGGTGTTGCGTGTAATGGTGACGGTGATGCAGATGCTGGTGATCATGGTGATGATGGCTAGCATACTCGCGATGAGGGTGGACGGTGATGTTGAGGGTGATGATGATTTTTCAGATGGTGATGATGATGATGATGATGATGATGATGATGGTGCTGATGATGGTAATGATGATGCTGATGACGATGGCGAGTATGATTATGATGCTGATGACGATTGCCAGGCTGATGATGATGATGACGACCATGACGATGTCGATGATGCTGAATCTGATGATGATGCTGGTGATGCTGATGATGATGGTGGTGGTACTGGTCATGATTATGACGACGAGTATGATTATGATGCTGATGACAATGACCTGGCTGATAATGATGACGACCATGACGATGACGATGATGCTGACGCTGATGATGATGATGATGCTGGTTAGGACGGTGATGCTGATGATGGTTATGGTGATGGTGGTCATGGCGATGGTGGGGATGGTGATCGTGATGATGCTGCTGACGACGACGGTGTAGCCGCTGCTGTTGATGATGCTGAGGCTGATGATGATTGTGACGGTGATGGTGATAATGATGACGCTGCTGATGGTATTGATGCTGATGCTGATGAGGATGCTGATGCCACTGCTGGTGATGCGGCTGATGCTGATGTCGCTGATGATGCTGATGGTGATGCTGATGCTGATGATGATGCTAATGTTGGTGATGATGATGATGCCACTGCTGATGATGGCAAGGAGGAGGACGTTGAGGACGAGGATGAGGATGACGACGTCGATGGGGATGATGCTGATCCTGATGATGATGCTGATGATGATGATGCTGATGATGATGATGATGCTGATTATGATCATGTGGTTGATGCTGATGCTGATGATGCTGCTGATGATGATGATGATGGTGAAGATGGTGATGATGATGGTTGTGGTGGTGGTGGTGAGGAGGAGGAGGAGGAGAAGGAGGAGGAGGAGGAGGAGGAGGAGAAGGGGAGGAGGTAGCGGTGGCACTCCAGACGAGGGACAGTGCAGTACGCGTGCCACAGGAAAGTGTTATTGATATTCCCTACTGTGTTCATGGACCCCTCAGGTCGCATGTGTCGGGGTCTTCTTACAAAGAGGTTTCGCCAGGCCGTTCGAAGTCCTGAGAGGTCTGCCGCGCGCTTCTAGACGCTCGCCAGCGCCCCCCCCCTGCTGGCCGCTCCTGCACGGCATGCACAGGCCCCATGACAGATGTCCCGACGAAGGCGCGCGGGGGCAGGAGGAGGAGGATGGGAAGAGGAGGAGGAGGAGGAGGAAGATGAGGAGGGGGAGGAGGAGGGAGGAGGAGGAGGAGGAGGAGGAGGAGGAGGAGGAAGGAGGTCAGGAGGAGGGAGGAGGAGGAGAAGGAGGAGGAGGAGGAGGAGGAGGGGAGGGGGAGGGGGAGGTGGAGGGGGAGGAGGAGGAGGAGGAGTTGGAGGAGGATGAGGAGGAGGAAGAGGAGCAGGAGTAGGAGGAGGAGGGGGGAGATGGAGCAGGAGGAGGAGGACCAGTGCAAACCCAAGGCTCATCAACGATGTTGGAATAAGCCCTTCGTCCAAGCTTCCTCTTCATAGGCCTCTAGAAGTGTTCGCTTCCACTGAGGGAAGTGCCCCATTGGGAGACCCTTGTTTGAAGACCCCGAGGCGTGCCAAAACACCATTCTCGGGATTCCAACGCTACGAATGAACGTCACTGTTGCCTTCTTGACGATCCCAAGTCGTGCCAGAACGCCATTCCTGGGGCTCCAACGCCGCGAATCCACGGAACCACTGCGCCCGCTCCACAACACCATCTCTGCTACGTGGACCACGGGAACCCGTGCGACTCTTGTCAATGTTTAGAACTGAGCATCGCTCGGACGTGTGCATTTTTCCCTCGGCGAGGACCATCGAGGAGCATCCTTGACCATTTGGCGAAAAAACCACGCACGAACCGAACAAACACACAGGGAATGGACGTCCGAGCGATGGCCAGAAAGCACATGTGCGCGGCGCTGAGGCGAGAGCCACAGGTTGAGAGCGAACCGCCCTCCAGCCGCGAAGCCCTGGCAGTGTTTTTTACGTCGACTGTGCGCGGCGCTACGGCGAGGGCCACGCTTTGAAAACGCGCCGGCCTCCATGAGCAGAGCTCTTGCAGGTCTGTCAGGCGAGTGCGCGCTGCGGCGCTGCGCTGAGGCGAGGGCCACGCTCTGAAAGCCACCCCGCCCTCCATCCCTGAAGCTCCTGCAGCTTTCTGCGCCGAGTGTGCGCGGTGCTGAGGCAGGGGCCACACTTTGGGAACGACCCGCCCTCAATCAGTGAAATTCTGGCATAGATCAAGAACCGAATGTGCGCGGTGCTAAGGCGAGAGCCACATTTTGAAAGTCACCCGCCCTCCCTCAGTGACACATTTGCCAATGCTAGGGCCATGAATGGTGAGGAAGTCTCAGGCCAAACACCCGGCCCGCCCTTTCGACCGGCCTCTCGGAGCGCGACAGGGAGGAGTTATGTATAAGGAACAGGAATGAGGAAGCATGACGAGGAGGGAACGCAGGGGGGAACGATGATGAGGAGGAGGGGGAGGATAAGGATGAGGAGAAGGAGGACGAGGACGGGAAGGGGGAGGAGGAATAGGAGGAGGAGGAGGAGGAGGAGGAGAAGGAGGAGGAGACTCTGCCCTCTTGACTCTTACAGCATGTCCCAGTACGACCCCCCGAGCGGCTCCACCCACAGATGAGCCGACAACGATGCACGTCCCCATCAAATCTTTCCTCGGCTCGGGAGACAGTCGAATGTACGCTTGCTTTCTCGTCTTCCCACCTTCGCGTTCCGCCCAGTTCAATCTGTCTGCTGTGGTTTTCATCCGCGGTTACACCCTAGTCCCTAGTCATCTCTTCTACAATGCAGGAACCCGCGCGCGCCAGAAGGGGTTGTACATCAATTCGTTTTCTAGCTCCGAGAGGCCCTGGGAGGTTGAAAAGTGCCCCCGGGGGCAGATCGGACTGCCATGCGGGCCTAGGGCCACGCTCCTTATACGGCCCAGCGAAGCCTAAAGACGGTCGAAGAGGCGCCCACGACGGCCACAACGGCCTTAGTTAGCTTGACGACGGCTCAAGAGGCTCCCAAGACGCCCAACGAGAGGTCGAAAAGGGTCCCCAAGACAGCTCCGAAAGGCCCGCATCGTCCCACTCCCTATTCTGAAAACATGAATTGTTAAATATGTGTTTCTGTTTCACCTTCACAGCCTGGAGGCCCCCCGAATTCCCCCAAGACAGCCCAAAGCCCCCCATGAGAGCCCCAAGACGGTCCCAGGACGGCCCAAGAAGCGCCCAAGGCGGCCCAAGAGGGCCCCAGGAGTCCATAAGAGTAAAAGCCCCCCAATAGGGGGAACCCGAACTGACGTTTCGCGCCCTAGGCCCCAAGAATGCCCCCAAGGCCACCAGCAGGCCCCTAAGAGGCCACCCAGAAGCCCCAGAAGACCCCAGGACGCCCAAATCAGGCCCCCAGAGGGCCCCCGAAAGGCCCCAAGGCACCCCGAAGACTCTCTAGGAAGCTGCGGGCCACCCAATAGAGAGCCTCACGAGCGAAGGAGATCAGATGTGCGGCCACACGCGCGCCGCGGCCACGGAGACGTGCGTCGGCTGGCTTCTCATGCCTTCCCTCCCGCTCCTCGCTCCACGCTCCACGCTCCGCGCTCCTCTCCGCTCTCTCCTCGCCCCTTGGCTCTTCTGCTCTCACCTCTCCTCGCCCCTGCTCCCCCTCTCTCCTGGCCCCCTCGCTCTTCCCTCCTGGTTCCTGGCGCCTGCCTCCCCTCTCCTCGTCGGCTCTCCCTCATCCATCCCCGTCTCTCTCTCTCTCTCATTCTCTCTCCTCGGCCGTCGCTCCTCCCTTCACGCTCCGTTCTCCTCGCTGATCGCTCCTCGCTTCCCCCACCCCCCTCGCAGCAGCAGAGGCGACGTTGGGGGCCAACGCCATCACGAAAGCCTTTCGGCAACATCTCTGCCCTGGTCCAACGTGCCATCTCGGACTTGTTTCGTGGCCCGTTGGCCACGGGTCAGCCCTAGTCAGCTACAACGCAGGGATCAGCGCGTGCGAGAAGGTCGGTCAGTGGCAGAGGGCCTTGCGGCTACTGAGCGAGATGCGGGAGGCGAAGGTGGAACCCAACGTCACCTCTACGGCCAGGTCGGGGGCCAGCTTGTGCGAGTGAGACTCCTGGCATCATCTCCTGAAGTGCCCACGGATCCCAGACGGCCAACACGGCCGATTGCGTTCCCCCCCCCCCCCCCAGGGCCCCCCAGAGGACCAAAGCGAGCTCCCAGGAGCCCCAAGAGCCACGAGGCTCGCACGACGGCCCGAGGAGCCCGCAGGAAGGCGTCGAGTCGACCCCGAGGAGCTCCGCGCTGGCTCCGCGCAGGACTCCCCGGAGGCGGACGCCGCCGAATGAATTCTTCCAGGCTCCGTACACTCGTGCGCCCCCCCCGCCCCTTGCCGCGCGGCGTGGCCCGAGGAAGGGCCCCGGAGGCTTCCGGCAGAGCCCACCTCGCCCAAGGAGGGCTTCTAGGAGGGCGCAAGATCGCAGGCCTAGAGGTTGACACCAACACCAGGATCGGCGGTGTTCCTCCACCGAGGGAAGAAGATCCCGATCTCGGTGATGGTGGTACTATTCTGGCTTCCAAGGTGGCCGAAGTACTACCACCGACACCGAACTCTGGGATCACCCCCCCCCCCTGTGGAGGCAGCCCTCTGTCTTGGTGTTGGTGCCCATTTCCAGGCCTCCCACAAGACGTCTCAGATATCAACCACAATGGCCTCAGGGCAGCTCCAAGACGGCCAATGCGGCAGGTCCAAGGTGGCCCCGCGGGTCGTGCGGCCCCAACTGGCAGCAACACAGCATCGGCAATCAGCATCGCCAAGCAACAGCATCAAACAGCAGCAAGCAGCAGCAACTGGTAGCGAGAGCGGCCCGGGGCAGCAGGTGGCAGCAAGTAGCGAAAGACAGCATCAATCGGCCGCAATCGGGAGCGAGATGATGCTGCAGCCCACCGTTTGTGCAATCCCCAGGCACACGCTAGTCAGCTACAGTGCTGGCATCAGCGCGTGTGAAAAAGCCGAACAGTGGCAGCGGGCCCTGTGGCTGTTGAGAGAGATATGGAAGGCAAAGCTGGAGCCCACCGCCATCAGCTACAACGCTGGGATCAAAGCTTCTGAGAAAGGTGGTCAGTGGGAGCAGGCATTGTGGTTGCTTGGCGAGGTGAAAGAGGCAGGACTGGATACGGATATCGTCATGTACACTGCCGTCACTACTGTTTGCGAGAAAAGTGGACAGTGGCACAGGGCATTGACCTTGCTCGATGATATGATGTTGAGCATTGGGCCCAGCAAGACCAGTTAGAGGGTGAGTGTGTTGTTATTGTTGTTGAGACATGGGAGAGGCCACGCGCATATTCGAATTCCACGGACTGGCGCGGCGAAGACAGGAGGCATTCGCAGGAGGTGGCGTTCTAGGTGATGCGGCCGAAGCCAGGCACTTTGGGGGTGCGCTCACAAAGGTACGTTGTCCTCTGGGAGCTGTTGAACGTGATTTGAGAGTAGATCGGATGCTATACACACGCAGCCCTAGAGCTGCTGAGCGAAGTACGGAGTGCGAAGTGGAGCTCAACCATCGGCTACCGCTGGGAGCAGCGCGTGCGAGAAAGCCAATTGTCTTGACTGTGGCGGCCGGTTCCGTCCTATCCCGATCTGAGGGCGCGTCTGAACGGCGCGGTGTCCGCGTCCATCGCAGCATGATCGTTGCTGACAGAACAGCGCGTGCGAGACAAGCCAGCAGTGCGATGCAGGCCGCCAGCAGTAGTGATCGGTAGTGACAGGCCACGTCGCCGCGAGGCGATCCAGAGGCATCAGCGACAGCGCTAAGAAGGACGAGCAGTGGCAGAGGGCTCCGTTGCTCTTCAGCGAGATGTGCGAGGCGAAGTTGGAGCCCGACCCCATCGACCCCAGCGCTGGGCCCAGGTCGTGCGAGAACGCAGTGGCCGTGGGCCGAATCTCCAGCGAGAGCACGCGAGGCTGGATGTTTTTGCCCCCCGGTGCCCGTGCTTCGCCCGCCTGTCTGGGCCTCTCGGCGGGCTCCGTCTCCTCCCCGGGCAGCTCGGAGGCCGAGTGCCGAGGAGCCTCCTCCTCCTCCTCCTCCGCTCTCACACCTGCTCCTGCGCGTGCCGGCTCCCCTGTTCTGCCCTCTTCCAGATCCTCCTGCCGTGTCCTGGATTCGGAACTGTGATATCTACTCCAGATTTCGTAATAAAGGGAGGGGGGTCTCATTTCGGGGGGAGGTTTCTTCCAATCTATCTTGGAGGGGGCCTGGGGGGGTCTGGGGACGATGTTTTGGAGGGTTCTCCCACGGGGGGGGGTCTGAAATGGCTTGTCTTGGAGGGTCCAGACCCCCTCCCTTTTATTACGAAATCTGGAGTACGCCTGTCCCCCCCCCTCATCTCCTCCCAAGGGAGGTGAGCACGCCAGGAGCGCGCGCGTGTACAAGGCACCAGCAGCTGGACACAGATGGCTGCAGCTCAGGCAGGCACTTGTCTTGAAGAGGCGCAGCGCGGCAGTACCGCCGAATTCGCGGATCGTTTGTTGGATCATGTGCGTGCGCACACTGCAGTTTACCACCCGTGTCGTCCAGTCGTTCTTCTTCTCTTGATCTTCCTCCTCCCCCTCGTCCAGGGAGGCTTGATCTTCTTCTCTTGATCTTCCTCTTGATCGTCCAGGGAGGCTTGATCTTCATCTTGATCTTCTTTTCTTGATCTTCCTCCTTCCCCTCGTCCTCTTCGTTCTTCTTCTCTCGATCTTCCTCTTGATCTTCTTCTCTCTCTCTCTCTCTCTTTCCCTCGTCCAGGGAAGGCTTGCCTGGCTGGGTGTGCTGGGATCCGCTCCCTCACCCCCCCCCCTTCCTCACTCCCTGTCCCTCCCACTCTGCTCAGTCTGTCGAGGTTCTGCTTCGGAGAAGGTTGTGACCTCTTGGTTTATGCGCCTGCCCTGGGTTCTCTCCTTCCCAACCTTCCTGCGTGTTGGGCTCTGGTTTGGAGATGAGCACTGTGGTCACCACCTATTCTTCCTCCAGTCTCCTCTCTCCGTCTTCCTGCCTCCTCTTGCGATACTCTCTGGCTAGCTGCGAGCTGCCCAACTGTCGCCAATGTTGTGGGCTCCTGGGAGGCACGGCGGCGTATCGGAGTACCCGAGACCTCGCAGCTCCTCGGGGTGGCTGCGAGCTGCGCAGAGGTCGCCATTTTTCGTGGGCTACCTGGAGGCACGGCGGAGCAGCGGAGTACCCGAGACCTCGAAGCACCCCGGGGAGTGCGCATCCAGCAGAGACTTCGGGGGCGGCAAAGAGGGGGGTGATGACTAGGGGGGTGGATATTATGGCGTGGGCCATGATATTTCCCCAGATCTCATGGCGCCTCTTCTTATTTCATTACGTCCCTGGCCCCCCCGCTGGGCCGCGCACATGCCGCTGGTCATGATTTGCACCCCCCCTCTTGGACACCCCCCTCTTGGCCGCTCCCGAAGACTTCGAGGCTCCTTCGGTGGCTGCGAGCTGCGCAGCTGTCGCCGCCTTCGTCGGCTCCTGGGAGGCCCGGTGGGGTGCGGGGAGCACGCAGACCGCCGCCGCGACCTCGCGGCGCCCTGGGTGGCTGCGGACTGCGCAGCTGTCGCCACTTTTGTGGGCTCTTGGGCAACGTGTTCTTATATTCCTCTTTCTATATTTTTACAAGCCCGGGCGGGGGGAAAACCCGTCCCCACCCCCCCCCCCCCCCCCAAAAACCGGACTCCGGGGATCTGGGGCTTAGGGACCCTCCGGACGGGCCTCGAAGCGGCCCCCAGGGCCTCGCAGGACGTGGCGCGCTCCCGAAACGACCCCAGAGAGCCCCAATACGATCGACGATGACCCCCAAGAAGCCGTCATACCCTGAAAGATCGTCCCGAAACGTCCCAAGAGGCCTCCAAGAGCACTCCCAAGAAGGCCCCAAGAGGCGAAAATCCTTGATTTTGTTGGTTTATTGCTTATTTTGGGGTTCTCCTCTTTTCGGCTTCCCGACGCTCCAAGACGGCCGTCTTCTGGGCGTCCGAAGCCGCCTGGGAGGCTCCCAAATCGCCCCACAACCATCCGAAAGGGCTTCCAGGCAGTCCAAGAGAGCCCCAAAACGGCACAACAGGGGTCCAAGATGGCCCTCAGGGAGCCCCATGGCGGCCCAAGATGGCCCTAAGACACCCTCCGAAGCATTCCAAATCGTGACCCAGTCGTTCAGGCAGACCGCGGTTGGAGGCAGGGTGGCCCGACAAACCCCCAGAACCCCCCAGAACACGCCCAGGAGGCCTCCAGAAGGCCTTAAGA